CGCCTCCCATTTTTTGTTATTGGATTGTATTGTAAAATATCACACGTTCTAAGATTATATTTTACTGACTATGCTTTCCTATGTTTGTATTTTAATGGATGATATGACGTCTAAGATTGGGTTTTATTGGATGATATGTTGTAAAACTAGATTTTATTTAGTAATAGAATACATTCTAAAACTAAATTTAATCGATGATACGCTTTTATTATTACTGGATTCTATTATAAAAGGTGATTGCTAAGATTATATTTTCATGTATATGCTTTCCTAAATCGTCATTTTATTGGATGATATTTTGCCGTCTAACGATATTTTTTATTAGATGATATTTTTTTCCTAGACGGGAAGTCTTTAGTCGTCCTATAAGAAATTGTTGACACGTCACAATCTTAGACTGTTACCTACCTTACGACATGTATACCATATTGATCAGGATTATTGATCTCTGTCAAGAATGATTCGCGGTAACAGATTTTTACAGCTACTTTCTGGATACGTCACCTAATTAAACTCATCGTTTACGTCAATCACAGAAACAAGACCTTCTGCCAAGGTAGTTTTCAGAATGATATACCCCTGGGAGAGGCAATCGTATAATTTATTAACATAGTGGAATGTGTTGGCCATTTATTTATCTTTTAAAGTTCATTGATTTTTTCAAAATGGTATTTTTTGTTAATTATATCATCTCGAAGACGATGGGAATGAATACCGAAAAATTCCGAAAATACAATCTCGAAGATGGAAGAACGTAACGGTGGAGTAATGGATAAGCGGCTCGGATTGAGGAATCGGAGAGCCGAGTTCGAATTCTAGTCGAATCCATTACATTCACTTACGTTCTAATAACCTTGGGAAAGGTATGAATCCTCCTCTTCTCCCCCTCCCCAAGCTATGGGTAAATAGCAGGACAGACCGGGTTCTATAGCCTTGGATGGCAACTGGTCTACGCAGAAAGAAATGGCAACCTACTGCCTCGTTAGTCATGTATTAAAAGACGCATGGCACATAACTGACTGAATAAAAGAATATGCTAACAAAATGAAGAAATGCGCTATATGTCTTCTGCCTTACCCTGAAAAGGAAAGCTAGTGGTTGTTACCAAATCTGTCTTTACTCGCAAGTCCAACACGTCATTTGCAAAAGTCTGTTTATGGGAGACATCTTGCCCTTAGTGGTTTTTACCTTTATAAATATACAGATGTACAGAAATTTACTTATCGGTCGTTAAGGGTTACATGAGTGGTCGTTAAGGGTCACATGACTGGACGTTAACGGTCACTTGATTGATCAAGCGTGATGCATACTAATTAGGGAAGAGGGAGGAAAGTTAACGCAACAAAATACTGATTATTAGATATTAGGTATTCTAGTAATGTCTAATAGATTTATCAAACATCTGATCCTGGTGAACGACTTCACGCGTAACTCTGGAGTCGGTGTATGACATAAGTCCACTAAACATTTATTGATTTATTAATTACTAGCAGTAGAGCCCGGCGTTGCCCGGGGATGTAACAGTGAGAGATAGATCAAGTATCGACCATCATAAAGACTGAAAAATAAAATTGACAAAGATTATTGTTTAAGGTTGACGGACACGCATGTCTTAATTAGTTTTTTTTTTGTTTTGTTTTTGTTTTTTACGAATTGGTCAAACCCAAGCTCAAACAAAAACATTGTTTTCAATCGTTATGAGTGTACCGATTGAATAGAATTTTATTATAAACAATTGTCTTGTAAATGGAATTTTTAAAGCATTCCGAATGTAAAAATAAAGAAAAAAGTGTGCAAGACAATAAGAAACACTACCTGCTAAAAAAAAAGTGAAGTTTTGTTGAAATCGGTTGAAAAATGTAGGAAATCCGATCCCATATATAAACGAACACACACACACACAACCTGGGTTTTATAATAAGTATGATTATGATTATAATAATAATAATATAATAATATTAATAAATATATGCAATGTGATAGGTCCTGACCTGGCATCTTGACCCCAGTCACGTTCTCACAGACATGATGTGGCTTCCCTCTATCTTTTTTACAAATATTTTCATGGCAACTACTCTGGCGAGCTACTTTCGCTGGTGCCCCGACTGCATGAATTTAAGCGTGCTACTAGGTTGGCATCTCGGTCCCACTCTTTCACTGTCGAAACAGTTAAATGTAACAGCCGCTTCTACTACAAATGCTCCTTCTCTCGCACTTCCCGGCAGTGGAACTCCTTCCTCCTACTTGCTGCCCCGATAGCTGTAATCTTCAAATATTCAAATGTAATGTCAATCGACATCTTCTGATGTCTTGATCTTGATCGGCCTTCTTTTTATCCTTTCCTGAAACGCCCCTTTTAACTCTTGCTCTCTGTAACCCTCTGCATACTAGCGGCACTCCGGCCTTGTTTGGGCTGAAATGCTTAAAAAAAATTCTTAAAAAATATATAGAAAATGGTCAGACAGATGAACTCGTTAACCATTACTTAACGCCGAAACGTGCTAGTAATTTACTACGCGAACCATGACTTTTTCTGATATCTCATCTGTATGAATTTAAGCGAGCTACTAGGTTGGCATCTCGGTCCCACCTTTTCACTGTCGAAACGATTAAATGTGGCCGTCTCTTCTACTCCAACAGCTTCTTTTCCCACACTTCCCGACAGTGGAACCCGCTTTCTCCTACTTCCTTCCTTGACAGCTATAATCTTTAAATATTCAAATGTAATGTCAATTGACATCTTCTGATGCTTTGATCCTGATCCCCGTCCTTCTCTATATCCTTTCCTCGAACACCCTTCTTTACTCTTTACTCTTGATCTCACTTTCTGTAACCCCTTGCGTGCTACTGGCCCACCCGCCTTGCTTGGGGTTAAATGTTTAAAAAATGTCTAATATAAAGAATATTGTAATACAGTATATTAATAGAGGAAGTTGGTTTATTGAACATTCTCGCTCAAGTTATCTTTTGAACACTTTTTGACAAAAATTGTACTGGCCTAAAAAATTCGTTAAATTCTACTAATTCTTTTACCTATTTTAATAAGTGTCTTTGAGTTGTATTATTAATAATTTTTTTATATATAAATATATATATATATATATATATATATATATATATATATATATATATATATATATATATATATATATGAAGAAATATACTCTTAAGTTGTGCTATATTTACAGGATAAATTGCTCAATATCTCTAATCAGGCCTGACGATTGCGTCTAGCATGAAACACTCTGTCACCTCTAAGTGTTGATTTCAATGTTCACATTTATTATCTATCTATCTATCTATCTATCTATATATATATATATATATATATATATATATATATATATATATATATATATATATAAAAGAAATATGTTGTAGTGGTTCCAACTTGAGAGAGAGAAAAGTATGTATATTAAAAAGAAGAGGGGTGCCGCAAACGTTTTTTGGTTGTAATGTGAATTTATTGAGAAAAAAAATTATACTTTGTTTTACATAATTTCACGACACGTGTTTCTGGTCTGGTCTCGAGAACCGTCTTCATTGAACATGAAGATTTTTACATATTTTAAAAATAATAAAAATTTTTCTTCATGTTCAATGTGGAATATTCTCGACCAGAAACATTCGTGAAATTATGTAAAAACAAAGTATAATATTTTTGGCAATAAATCCACATTACAAAAAAAACGTTTCGGCACTTCTCTTTTTTTAATATATATATATATATATATATATATATATATATATATATATATATATATATATATATAATTGGCATCCGTTTATTTTCCAAGACAAATGTAGTGCTCTGGTTATAATTAAGTACCTTGGTGGTGAAACTGGAGTGTTCTCTCGAGGGCACAGGCCTGTTCGATGGTAATGGAGTCCGTGCACTACCCAGGTCAGATGTCCCTCCCGTACGGACAAGATTCAAATGAATACAGGGTATTATATTTGGGTCGGGATTGGCTACGTGAGTTGCCTAAAGGTTGTCGGTGTTGACAGCCAATCACCTTCGGGGCTTCATTCTATGTTTTCTGTCTGGATTTACTTCCATAGCCTTTTCCTTGCTTTGAATATACCCGCAAGGCAGCGGAGGTTTTAAATCAGGGTCTCCCTTCCCCCTAGATGGATTGCCTCCCCGGGCTCACAAGCTCCACCTACTTGAATAGTAATATAATAGTATAGAAATAAAATGAAATGTCTGCCGGTCTGCTATGGACTCAGAAACTACTGAATGGATTTCAACCAAATTTTGGAATGCAGATAGGTTCAGAGAGTGTCAAAGTTTATGTAAAGTTCACCTAGGTCCACGTTGAAGGTCATGAAAGGTCAGAAGTAAGGCCAAATAAGCCGCTTCTCCTGGAAGATAAATATTTCTTCTCGTATGAAAAATATTGTTATGAGGATGTAAATTAACTTTTGACAGTAAATTAATTTATGGTTACTTCCCTCAGTCATTTTAATAATCTATACCATTTCCCAGTGTTCCGATAACAACTGCGACGACTGCCACTTTCAGATTTCACAATTTCCACAGCTCTATCTTGCCGTTTGAAATACTTTTTTAACTTTTCACTCTCTTTCAGGTTGACTCTGTGATCTACCAGAACAGGAGAAAACCACGATTTACCATTTTTACCATTTACCATTCTTTATTTTTTTTTTTAAATTTATGACAATCAGATCTGGTCTTCTGGCCTGGATTGGGTGATGCGTCCGAATCTTAAGATTTCAGAGTATTTTATTTATTTCATCTCTTAACACAGACTTACATCTTATTCTTATTGATTCTGTTATTTTTTTTTTGTTTTTTGCAGACTTACGAATGGCTGTCAAGTTGTCGAGATCGTTTGTCGGTTTCAAACCTTGAAAGGATTAGCGAAGAGAGTGTAAAAGAGGAAAAAAATACACCTACATTCGAATGCGTACAGATCGACCGGAAGTTGACAGATTCCAACATGGCGACGCGTTATCGTCGCCATGTCAGAAGACCGATGAGCGTCTCTGGTTATCCGACATTAGAAGAATCAAGAAGATCAACAGACTTTTGTCACGATTTCAAATCCACCCAGCAGCGAGAAAGGACAAGCCAGTCAGAAAACGAAAAACCAGTCCAGACCGAGAGGTTCACGACAATGCGGCGGGCGAGTTTCCAGTGTCATGCGGTCCTCACTAAACAGAAAGGCAAGATGCCGACATTGTCGGCCAGTCACGAATACCCGAGTCCAATGCACGCCGTCATGCGACAGTACCAGCCGAAAATCGGCGACGATAAAGAGAAAAAAGACAAAAACGAATCGGCCTGTTCTAATCGAACCCCCAGCCGACAGAGCGAGTCACTAGAGGGCGCAACTGGCGTCACTGTAATCCGAAGAAGTTCTTTTACGGCGAGATCAAGTAGCAAGATAAGTGATATGAACTTTGTGACCTCTTCACAGACAAGGCGCACGTCCTGTCAAAATTCTCCTTTATTTAAAAGTAGTAATGAAACCTTGTCCCGTGATTCGTCAGTTGGTGACGAGTTAACGAAAAGGCAGACAGGTGAAGTGGACCAAGCCGTTGTCACAAGTCCAATTTCTTCTTTGGAATCATTACAGAGGAAAAATCAAGAATCTGGCGTCTTGAGACGAGTACCTCTTAACCAAAACTGCATTGAGGAACTGGAACCAAGACAGACGGTGTCTAGTCACAAAGCCAGTCGCGCATCGAGCAGCACCGATCTTAGAGACGTTTCGAAACATTACCAATATCAAAGTCAGGTGCATATCTCAAAGGAACTACTCCCGAGTCAAATTTCAAGTAATTCGGAAAAGTACTCGGAATACCAAAACCTGAAAGACTTGGAACACGGCAAAATCTTCAAGAAGACAGAGTCGGTGCATTCGTATAACCAGAAACATCCCGACAATCAAAGCGTATCTCCGACGGAATTGTCCGTAAGCGAAAAGAATAAGAATTTTCAGAACTTGAAAGGGGACACGTGTAGTTATACTTCCGATGAAGGTTACTGTGCCTCTCTGTCGAGCATCCCGAGCGGCCGACGCCAACTGAGCATCCAATCAGACACAAGTTGGATATCAGCCGATATCGAAGACTGCAGGTCATGTGATGCTAACGTAGTGTCTTACAGTTGTGGTTGCGCCAGTGATACTGCTCACTGTGGGCATTCGCAGAAACTCGACCGGAAACTCTCATTGAACAAGAGTGAAAACAGTATAACAACACGCAATGAGATATTACAAACTTCCAAGGTTTTACCATTTAGGCAAACTTCACTCTGATCTGAGGTACTACCTATATATATATATATATATATATATATATATATATATATATATATATATATATATATATATGAAGAAATATAGTCTTAAGATGTGCTATATTTATGGGATAAAGTGCTCAATATCAGAGATAGAGAGATAGTAAATATAAAAGTGAACATAGAAATCAACACTTAGAGGCGACAGTCTGTTTCATGCTATATGCAATCATCCTGACGATTGCGTCTAGCATGAAACAGACTGTCGCCTCTAAGTGTTCATTTATGTTCACTTTTATATTTACATATATATATATATATATATATATATATATGTATGTATGTATGTATGTGTGTGTGCGCTTGCCTATTTATGTCTATTAGAATATTGCTACCATATATCTTTCCAGCTTCTTGAAATATATATATATATATATATATATATATATATATAAATTTCAGATAGATTATATCTCTAAAAGGACAATGTGAATAAAGACGTGTTTGCTAATGCGTTTCGTCCTCTGAGGCAAATAAAGTTCCTCAAAGGACGAAACGATTTAGCTAAGTTTTCCTTTGGTCGTTATTCATATATATATATATATATATATATATATATATATATATATGCATGCGTGTGTGCTTCTAAAGAAGTAATGGGTTTATTTTTAATCCGACATGTTTTATTACTTCAAATGTTCTTGTAGTTGATTATATTTGAGCAGATATGGGTTTTCCGGAAAATAATCTGCCGCAGGAAGTGTGCTTTCTTTTAAAAGGGACAAATAGATTATTGCAGAACTGTGACGCTCCCCGTAGCCGAGCCGAGCGGTAGATCATCTCGGATCAAACGGTGGTTTCCCATACAAAGGGGGACGGACGCGGTTTCGTTCCCTTCCGTGGAGGGCTTTTCCTTTAAGATTTCTCGAATGCGCAGGCCAATAGAACACTGTTTAAAACAAAATTAAAAAATGGGTGACTATTTCAAATCCACTATAATGTTTGAAATAAATATATATATATATATATATATATATATATATATATATATATATATATATATATATATATATAATGCATATCGTTAACGTCTACCAAAACACGCAAATTACTGTGTTTTAATGCGTTTAAAGGCGAGCAGATTTTTGTAAAGAAAGTGGTCAATGTTAAAAATTAGAACAACAGTATTTAATAGATAAAGAAAAGTTCAAAAGACTTAGCTTTCCGACTTCAAGTTTCATTGATACATTGCCCATCACAGACAGATAAATATCAGACCCTGATGAGCAGTGCATCTGAACTTTTCTTTATTTCTCTCTCTCTCTCTCTCTCTCTCTCTCTATATATATATATATATATATATATATATATATATATATATATATATATATATATATGATAAAAATATAATTTAATGAATTCTATTTTTAAAAGTATTCCATATCAAAGATAGAGTGTATGTAAATATAAAAGCGGACACTGAGGTCAACACCGAACAGCGACAGTCTGTTTTATGTGTGAACGCCATGGAGGGAAGCAGACTGTTGCTGCTCAATGTTGACCTCAGTGTCCATTTTTATATTTTATATTTACATACGCTCTATCCCTGATATTGAGCACTTTTTAAAAAATTCTTAAGCTCAAATGAGGCTGGATAAAAAAAAATTTCAATTGACTCCCCCATCGATATATTTATAATGCTCTTGCTTTTCTTCTGTTCCCCTTTCTTCTCCTCCTCCTTTCTTTTTCACATTCTCTTTCTATCACAGCCAACGTCGTGCGTTTGTTTATTTATTTTTTTAAAATAATATAGCGTCCATAATTTTTTTAAAATAAAGCGTTTTGAGGTTAATTGATGAAAATCGCCTGAGGAGACCGTAAGGTTGAAACCAAGGTAACTCCTGGTTTTTAAAGTTAAAAGCTCTACATGTATTTTTTTCACAGTTGTATTGAGCACTTTTTAATAGTACTGTTTCCTGGTCTGATTCAACTCTGACCATTAATCTTTTATGTACTATATATATATATATATATATATATATATATATATATATATATATATATATATTGTGTATATTTAGGCAGCAATTTTTCATTGATGCATGTTTTATTAAATAATATAGACAAGTTTTGTCTATTTATTTTAAGTAAGTTCCTTTCATATTGTCTGATAAGCTTAATAAGATTATCATTGAAAGACGAAAGGAAATCACCATATTGATACATGTTTAAATCCAATCTAAGCTTTCGGCTTACATAAGCCATTATCAAAGATGACAATTACATTTCAACCAATACACGGACGAAACAATAATGATAGTCTGTTTTTGTTGCATGAAAAATTTCAAAGCAACGACAAACTCGTGAATACGAGAGGCGGAAGTGAAAATCGCGTCGCAGCTCATGACGTCACACATGACCACGTGAGAGTGAAAACGAGAATTATTACGTATGGGATGCCGTTGGTATAAACCAATGGCTTCTGTTATCAATTATAGGCATCTAAGAATATTTGTGGAGATTTCATAGTTTATTTTGTTCAGGTTAGGTTTCAATATATATATGTGTGTGTGTTTGTGTGTATGTGTGTGTGTATAATGTGTGTATGAGCATGTACTTGAATGTACACATATTCAGTAGTAGAGAATGAAAGTTTAAAAGTAAAAATCTTCCAGTTGTACAGTTTCGATTACTATAAAAATATTCTTAAAAAAAATCTGGCTCTGTATTATGAACTTGCATAAAAACGGACTCAATATAAAGAAAGTTATAGCACAAAAACTGTTTAGTCCAAAAGAAAATGTATAGCGCTCAAAATTAGAGAACATTGTCAATTATCTTTACGGGTGAGTTTTTAACCCCGACCCCACCCCTCGAAAAATATTGCAACATTGTACTGTAAACAAATGCTATTCATCTGCAGCATAAGTTCCAGTTTTATCATGATGGCAACCCCTTGCAAAGTTGGTGAATCCCTGCGCTATAGAGTTGTAACATAAAAGCTTAAGGGCTGACGATTTCTGCTTGTTCCTAGATCAAAGTGTAATTTATACAATATTAAAACGTTCTCATGATACAGGCTCCTAAAGAGGTCCCTTAAAATACCAGGGCTTTTATGTAAGGCAACTCCTTGATTAAAACCAGACAATTAAGAATCCCTCTATTTTGGACCATCTTGACACACCTGTCGGCATTGAACATCAGGTAACTGAAAAACTTGACATGCAAATATCTCGGCAGTAAGCGTTGCGACATTTATAGAGAGTAAGGCTTTGTTCCAACTCTCCTGACGCCAAAACCCACGTTGTCTTGATAGATTAGATTTATGCATGTGTATTCTTCAGTTACGAAAGTAAGTTTAATTTGATTGACTCCCCGACAGCAAAGAGTATGTCGTGGTGTAAAGGTGAGAAAATTCTTCACAAGTGTGTGAAAAAATTCATTAAAATCTAGAGGTGGTATTGTACTTCTTTTTTTTTTTTCGTTTTTTTTTGTTTGTTTTTTTTGTTTGTTTTTTAGCAGTGGAAAGTTCTCTGGAGTTGGTGTCGGTTACATGGCAAAGTAAATGTTGCAGCATATAAAAATACTTTTGAACAGTATATTGTCCTTTCTCTGAGAACAACTGCTTTTCCTGGACCCTTCTTTATTTAAGACAATGATTCTTGTCATGCTGTAAAACGGCCAAAAGATACTTGGAAGTGAAAAAAAAAAGGTCGAGATTATGGCAAAGCCCAATCAGAGTCCATATCACAATTCAATTGAGAATATACGGAAGATCATCGGTGATAATGTTAGCGCAAGGAAACAACGTTAGAAATTACTCTCAATTGATAACTTCGTTAGACAGTACTTCCTTTAGGCTTTAAAGATTGAGAAATGCACGTAGCTACATTCCAAATCTTGTGCAAATATTTCAGGCTCTGTGCTCTGGTTTCATTCCTGATATTAAAAAAAAAAACAAAAAACGCCCCCCCCCAAAAAGCCAGATCAGACAAGAAAAGGAAGTACTGCTGCGAAATATGAACTAAAGCGGCCCAATCTTCACTTTTCAGTCTCGATATAGCTCCAAAATCATCTCCGCGTCCTTGTGGGTGATGAATCATTCTCCACAGATTAAATATCGTAAGCCTCTCGTTACTCTATCGCTAATTCCATGGGAAGTGCTCAGGCGAACTATATCCTTTAGTTCCACCAATTCTAACCTTGACGGTCAAGACCCACCATACCACACCCATTGTAACGAACCACCTTCATTCCCTTCATATTCCGTTGGTCAGATGTAAGTTCCATTTAAGCAGCTTCTTCCCATGAACCACTCGATTACAGTCTACAGCGAAAATTCCTACTTTAGGTAACCGTTTGGTATTAATTTGCTTTTTATTGACTAAATCTTTTACTATTTTCAAGTAGTTGTCGGAAATTTTAAGTTTAGATAAATTCTTTTCACTTGTCGGCCTTATTGAGTTGCTAGGTAGGATTATGCGTCTAGTTTTATCAATATGATATTGGCCTAATCTCTGGGTGATTTCAACAGTTTTTCCTCAGATTTTCTATTATTCCTACCTTTTCGAAAGACTCTTCAACGCTCTTTCAAGCATACCAATGATACTGAGTCTTCCTATATGCCGTACCTCTCCAGTGTCGGTCAATGTCATCTTGATAAAACTAGATGCATAATCTTACCTAGCAACTCAACTACATTCCTTCGTTCCACCTGTTCTAACCCTCACGCTTAAAACCCCGCCATACCACGCCCATTGTAACGAACCACCCTAATTCCTTTCATATTCCTTTGGTCAGATGTAAATCCATTTTTTCGCACGAACCACTGCTCTGTGGGACCGACTCCGAAGAGGATGTTTTCACGATCACTACAGACTTGGCCTATTCAAGTGTCAACCGTTATATTCTTCACATATCTGCAAAGACTCTCTTTCTTACTCTATAACACTATACCTCGAGTAGCTCTTAGCCTTTGTACAGAATGAAAATCAAAGTAAAAAAAAAAAACGAAAAAAA